GAGACCCTGGGGTCTGGCCCACGCCCAGCGTGCCAACAGAGCTCTGCACAGCTCCCGCTGATCAGGAGAGGGACGGGCATCCAGTGCAGCAGCACTGCTCCCTCCAGGAGTTTCTCAGCCCTTACAGCAGGCGGGGAACATGGCCTGCTCCCCCCAGCCCAGCTGAGCACCCCGCGGGGCCCAGGGAGAACGGCGGTGCTCTGACATGGAGCCAGGCAGCCCCGCTTCACACCCATCTTCAGAAGCAGCCAGGTCTTCCCGCATGAAGGCTCTGCAATTCCCAGAGCCACCCTTGGGGGACAGGGCAAGGCTGCGGTGGCAGCTGGCCTCTCCCACGCCACCACAGTCGTGGCCCCCCCCCCCCCAGTCGTGTCCCCCCCACGCTACACAGCCTGTCCCAGTGCCTCTGCTCGCCCCCCCATCGCCGGCAGCTTGGGTTACCCCACAGATCCAGCTGCATGTCTGCAGCGCCTGGAGCTGTGAGCACCAGGTGGAGAGTCTCAAGCCCAGGGCCACACAGCCCAGCACAAATCTCCACCCCAAGGTCCCCAGAGCAGCGGCAACTGGGCCAGCTCCCCCTTTCCATCCTCCACTGGTGTGCAAACCAGCGCCCCAGGACTCAGCCACTCTCTGCATGAGGCTCAAAGGGAACTCAGCGTTCCACCGCCCGAGAGCTCAATACCCCGGTCAATATTTGGTCACAGCTTCACCATCTCATAAGGACACACTTCAGATCAAGTGCCCCTCACAGCTCAGCTGTACCTCAGCTCCATTTCCTCCTCACCCAGTGCTCCACATTCTTGAGACTCTCCAAGAACCCTGTAGAGCCGGTTTCATCTACAAATTTGAGGAAGCAAAAGACTGCCAAGGCAGCAACGGAGGTTGGAAACAGCCCCAATGAGGGCTGTGAACCCTGCGAGTTTCCAGTGTCAGGGAAACCAGGCTGCGGTTCACACGCTGCAATTCAGGGAGCTGGGATCATGCCAGAAAAAAACCCCACAAAGCCCCTGCAATTGGATTAGCTTGAGGGCTTCACCAAGCGAAGCTTGCAGCATAAGCAAACAGCTGTCACACTCTGAAAATGGTGCACTGCTCCGGTCCTGCCAGATCTGAGCCATCACCAGGTTTTTGTTCAGTTACTATGTACCTCCTCCTGGGCTACCATCAGTCCGTGACACGCTCCAGAGGCGAGCTCTGCAGGACAGCGAGAGCTGGGACCACAAACACATGCTAATTATGCAGGAGGATACCAGAGGACTCAGGTAAACACAGATATCTGAGATTCGGGGGAGTGTCGCCTTATGGATGTGTGCCCACAGCAGAGAGAACATGCCAGCGAGCCAGGAGACCCCCACCATGGGACCCCAGCGCAGGACAGCACTGCCCCCCTGTGCAATCCTCTCACAGAGCAGTGAGCTCTGCCCACCCTGTGCCAGGGAGGGAGGGAGGGAGGAACCCCCTCTACTGAAATGAAGCCCCAAAAGTTTGCTGGGTGCTCTCTTACACACGGGCTACACTGTCACAAAACACAAGAGCCCCTCTGTGGTGTCACAGGGTTTATTTTCCTGTCTGTACAGTCCTCATCAGACGCAGTTTAGATGATTCCGATCTGGAAAGAAGCAAAGCACGTTAAAACAGATGTTACAGCAGCAGAAAGGCAGAGCCTCCACCACAGACATCACTGCCAGGGCTGCATTTCCCCGGGATTCCTGTCCTTTGAAGACTGGCGTCTCCCTCCCAGACCTGCCCAGGTGCCTTACACACCGCTTCACACGTTTATTCCACGGTGCCCCTTGTGCTACTCCCCAGCACACTCCCCTGCTCCAGCGTGTACCACCGCTGCCTCCTGCCTGCCTCAACCACCATGAGGACTCATCTGTCTGCTGCTTCCTGCACAAGTACCTCACCTGTACACCAGGAAGAACAAGCGCCGGAGATACAAGACAACGGGAGCTGCAAAGTTTCAAAGTTTCTCACCTTGTTGGCTACATCCAGCGCATCATAATCTGGAGCCAGTCGGACATAAGCCTTCTTCTCCCCATCAGGCCTAGAGAGGAACAGGAGGTGTCAGTACAGAGGCACACAACTCCGCCCACCTGCTCCACGTTCCTGCTCTAGCAGTGTGCATCAGTGGTTCCTTTGGAAACATCACTTTACTCAGTGGTAAAAAACATTCACATCATTTGCACAAGACTCCCTGGCTGTCAGGAGAGCTCCCTGATGAAGCTGAGCCTCTGGTCTGCCAACACTTCCCACTTCCACTAAGATGTGCTCAGTCACAAGTCGCATTTCTCAAAACTTTTAACACTGGAAACGCTACAGAGCTTAACCGCACACCTCCCAAGAGCACATGAAACTCACACATGTTCCCATTTTCTGCTAAAAGCCACTCAGGGCTCTTGAAGCATCTCACACCCACCAGTAACCTCTTCTCCACCTCTTCTCACCTAATCAATGTGTTGACCTTGGCCACATCGATATCATACAGCTTCTTCACAGCCTGTTTGATCTGGTGCTTGTTTGCCTTGACATCGACGATGAAAACCAGAGTATTGTTATCCTCGATCTTCTTCATTGCTGACTCTGTGGTCAAAGGGAACTTGATAATGGCATAATGGTCCAGCCTGCAGGAGAGAGACCCTGTGCTTAACAGAAGGCTCTGCACTTCAGGGGCTTTCAAATACCACAGGTACCATCTAAGAAATTCTTGGGTGCATCAGTTGCCAAAAAAAGTTCTCATCACAAGCTCTCAGGCTTTGGTCGCTTGAAATCATCACCTGCACCTCAAACTCCACCCCCAGTGCTCTGCCACCAAGGTGTGGCTCAGCTCCCAGGGCAGCACACTGGCAACAGGGCACAGGTCCCCATACCAGCCCATGGATAGAGCTGCTCCCAGCCCAGAAGCCCCACGGCAGGGCAGAGCCCAACACCCCACACGTACTTGTTTCTCCGTGGGGCGC